CATTGTATAGGCCACAAAAAACACATTGTTAAACATGTGTGGTCCAAGACCAGGCATTTAACTCAGTAGGGTTATCCACTAAACTGAGAATTGTCAGGAAATGATCAATGTGTTTCATTTTGCCACAAGAAATTAACTGGAAACTTAACTTCTTTGGATATTTTTTTCTAATTCCACTGTCTGCATATTATGTGTGACTCAACCTCTACCCACCTCCCTAATGCCTGCCCATTGCACCCATCTCTGTGACACCCTATTTACTGTACCTTACGTGACTAAAACCCTACCCACCTCCCTAATCCCTGCCCATTGCACCCATCTCTGTGACACCCTATTTACTGTACCTTACGTGACTAAAACCCTACCCACCTCCCTAATCCCTGCCCACCTCACCCATCTCTGTGACACCCTACTTACTGTACCTTACCTGACTAAAACCCTACCCACCTCCCTAATCCCTGCCCATTGCACCCATCTCTGTGACACCCTATTTACTGTACCTTACCTGACTAAAACCCTACCCACCTCCCTAATCCCTGCCCATTGCACCAATCTCTGTGACACCCTACTTACTGTACCTTACCTGACTAAAACCCTACCCACCTCCCTAATCCCTGCCCACCTCACCAATCTCTGTGACACCCTATTTACTGTACCTAACCTGACCCAACCTCTACCCACCTCCCTAATCCCTGCCCATTGCACCCATCTCTGTGACACCCTACTTTACTGTACCTTACCTGACTAAAACCCTACCCACCTCCCTAATCCCTGCCCATTGCACCCCTCTCTGTGACACCCTACTTACTGTACCTTACCTGACTAAAACCCTACCCACCTCCCTAATCCCTGCCCACCTCACCCATCTCTGAGACACCCTACTTACTGTACCTTACCTGACTAAAACCCTACCCACCTCCCTAATCCCTGCCCACCTCACCCATCTCTGTGACACCCTACTTACTGTACCTTACCTGACTAAAACCCTACCCACCTCCCTAATCCCTGCCCATCACCCATCTCTGTGACACCCTACTTACTGTACCTTACCTGACTAAAACCCTACCCACCTCCCTAATCCCTGCCCATTGCACCCTCTGTGACACCCTACCCACTTTACCTAACCTGACCCAACCTCTACCCACCTCCCTAATCCCTGCCCATCTCACCCATCTCTGAGACACCCTAACCACTTTACTCAACCTGACTAAATCCCTCCCTAATCTCTGCCCGCTGCACCCATCTCCATGATACCCTACCCATATTACCTAACCTGACCCATCCTCTACCCACCTCCCTAATCTCTGCCCGCTGCACCCATCTCCATGACACCCTACCCACATTACCTAACCTGACCCATCCTCTACCCACCTCCCTAATCTCTGCCCGCTGCACCCATCTCCATGACACCCTACCCACATTACCTAACCTGACCCAACCTCTACCCACCTCCCTAATCTCTGCCCGCTGCACCCATCTCCATGACACCCTACCCACATTACCTAACCTGACCCAACCTCTACCCACCTCCATAATCTCTGCCCGCTGCACCCATCTCCATGATACCCTACCCACATTACCTAACCTGACCCAACCTCTACCCACCTCCCTAATCTCTGCCCGCTGCACCCATCTCCATGACACCCTACCCACATTACCTAACCTGACCCAACCTCTACCCACCTCCCTAATCTCTGCCCGCTGCACCCATCTCCATGACACCCTACCCACATTACCTAACCTGACCCAACCTCTACCCACCTCCAAATCTCTGCCCGCTGCACCCATCTCCATGATACCCTACCCACATTACCTAACCTGACCCAACCTCTACCCACCTCCCTAATCTCTGCCCGCTGCACCCATCTCCATGATACCCTACCCACATTACCTAACCTGACCCAACCTCTACCCACCTCCCTAATCTCTGCCCACTGCACCCATCTCCATGACACCAGGCCCAAACCCTACCCACCTTATACAAGAAATTTAAAATTGAAATAATAAGGACTGTTAAAAAAAATATGTGTAAAGTTCAACTAATAACGTGAACATTTCAATATCGAACGAAATTTGGAATGAGAGCAGAACACAAACCGTTATCAGTTCTATGACAGGTACACACAGGCTGTAGAATGCAAGTATTTGTGGAATAAAACCCTTTTAAAATACTTGGGCTGGCTGAGATGCTGCTCAGGCTTGGCTAAAGAAAATATGCCAACTCCATAATTAATCCATAGCCAAGGTTTTACAAGGACTCCAAATACTGTTGCATTTCATTTCTTCCTATGGCGGTGTACAGATAGAAAAGTGGGTTGGGAGTTTTTAGATATAAATTTGCTAATCTTTCTAAATACTCATTAGACATGAAGGGGGTGGAATCTTTCTAATGACCAGTCAACCACTCTGCATGCTACCATGTCTCACGGGAATTTGGGGTATTTTTCTGAATGCCCCAGAGATGTAGCACACCCCCTGTACTACGGCTACATTTAATACCCACTTAGGAGCATCTCCATTTCTTAAAGGGACACTACAGTGTATTGATTTTTAAGGAATATTTTTAAATATTTCTTTAATAGTAATTATGCCCGCACTGGACAAACCTGCAGAGTTTTCCTCTTAAAAAGAATGACTTAGGCTTGTGTGAGTTTAAGTTCAGCTGTTGCCTTTCTACACTAGAAAGAAACAATTGAAGCGACAGGCTCACGCCCTTGCACGCTTTCTGAGTTGTGGGTTCTACAGAAAATGCTCAGTGGGCCTCGATAGCCGGCAGGAGAGATTTTCTTCTGCGCGCGCACACACACACACGCACAAAAAAGGGGGAAAAAATATATAAATTTAAGTACATATTTGAAAAACAAAACAAAAACCTCCTTTCTAAAAAAATTAATTTAAAAAAATTGCACTATAAAATTAGTGGTAAGGTATTTTACCATGAACAAAAATACAAAAGTGGGCGGTAGGTATTAAAAGGTTGACTACCCCTGCATTAGAGCTTTGCAAAAATAAATAAATAAGAGAAATTGGTGAAAATTTGTGATAGCGTAGGGATAGCTTAATGCCGCAGGTGTTATCATGTAAATAAATGGTTGGTTTATGCAGTGTAAGTGGAACATTTAACAGCATGGACGGAATGGACTCACTCCCAGATTATTGGTTTCTGGAAACACCCATGCACATGTTAAAAAGTTTGGGGACTATTAAGAGAAGAGTCAATTAACTCAGCAGTCAGGCTTATCGGAGCTGTGCAGATCAGTTGAAATCTGCGTAATTGCTCTGTCAAACAACTATCAGATTCTCCCACTCTGCTTATTGCTTCTTTGTGAAGCATGAATCTGCCTGATATACAGGCTTCAAAGGCAAGGCAGCAGGTCTCAGAGCCCCAGGCAAGGAATTCACCTTTAAAAGACAGGAATGAGTGGGAGGGGAGGTGGCACTGGTTGGGGGGTTGGGACTGATAAAGGTTGGAGGATTTGGTTTAATACAATGCGGAAAATACCTGGCCCATCACACTATTGGAATAGTTTCTTTTAAAGACAGCAAATTATAGATTTTATTTAAATTATAGAAAAATAAGGTTATGAAGAAGGAATAGACCTGACGACTATAAGCTTTGTTTGATAGAAATGTATACATATATAAACATACATCCTAATATTAATATTGCACTTTTCACCAAAACTGGCAGCTCTGACTTAGAATAGAACTGCATTTGTATCACATTTATTCAATCCTCTCTCTATATATATATATATCTGCAGATTATTCTCCCTGTGCTGAGTAAAATTCTACCTCCTCTTAAATCGGGGTGAACAGATTAACCTCTGCAAAGCATTTTATAACATTTAGCGGATTGGCGGAAAGAAAGGAACAATGATAAATGGTGGAGGTGGTAGTTGGCTGACCCTACAAATGCCGCTATTCAGCTAAAATGTTTCAGTGTGAGCTTAGAAGATATTATACCTTTGTACATACACCAAACATTGTACTTCCATGGCACCTAATTGTGTCACATGATGAAGAGACCTTTTGTAAAAAGATACCCTTTAAAGCCTAGAAAAAGCTGGCCTCTTTTGCATTGGGAGTTAAAAAGTAATTAGTATGTAGCAAACAAAATCATTGCTTGCCTTTCTGAACCAGTAATCAGTAAATGATTACAATTAAGCAGGGTTGGAGATTCAGAAGAATGTCTATGAGGTACCTTAAAAGGCTTATCAAAAAGAGTACGGGGTCATTCCACAAGATTTCTCTTAGAGCATAATGATCAGAATTAGCACTAAACCCACACAGGCCAAGACAAGCTACAGCTGGGGGGACAGGTCGCAACACACATAGAATAGGGGGATACCTGTGTTCTTGTTACACACCCTGTATAACACCATACTGTTCAGGAAAAGAAATGCTTTGTGTATAATTACAGTCTAAAATTCTGTTCGTCCAATAAAGAAATAATTAATAATAATAAAAAAAAAATTAGATACTAATTGTATCTGTTATTTTACATCTACATTACTGGAGTAGAATGGCTACAATCTCTACTCTATAACTATATATAAAATAATGGAACAAGCACTAAATGATGTAATATTCAGTCTGTGAAATATATTGAAAGGAGTTACAGGTGATCTGCAGTACACGTTTTCAGTGTCTGTCCTTTCATACACCTCCGTAGGGTTTTAAGTACATATCCACATGTTTGTTTGTTTCCCCCCCCCCCCGTAAGTAAGTAAGAGACTAGTGTGACAGTTAACAAAACATGAACCAATTAAATCTATTTTATCTGGGAAACAAGTCCTTCTTTTGAAACCTAAAAAACATGATAAAAATTAAAAATAGAAAAAAAAACATGTACAGCTGTAAAATGTACTGCATTTACAGCGAATCTTAGGGAGTTTCAAAATTAATTTTAAAAACCTAACCGGAAAAATACACCTTTCCATATTTAATTTATAGCAATAAATAAGTCTGTACCAGAAGAGGTAGAGATTATAGTTTATCTGCAATATTTATACAAACATACTAGCATGGATTATACAAATAAAGTAAGTGTAGTCTAGGAAAATAAAAGTAAAGGAGTTTGTAGAAAAACAAGGAAGAAGGGAACGTATGGGACAACGGGAGCAATAAGTACACAGGTCATCACATCTCACCCAGTGTAACCCAGCACGATTCTCTATTTACATACACACATTGGCCATTTGGCCATAATTAACATTTTATCACTTCTACGGGTAAATTCATGCACATTGGTGAGAAAAGACTGACATTTGCATTAAATCAGGTCATAATTTAATATGAAAGTTTAGTTATAGAAGAAGGGGAGAGATTTACATCAATAAATAGATATTTAAGGGTTGGAGGGAGGATAGAGAGAGGAGGTACTTGGAAATTAAAAATCACAAAGCAAATTAGTCCCAACAGAAGACTATGTTCAATGTATTTTAAAGAATTTATTTAAGCTTAGTACAATTAAAAAGTCCCTTTTGAAGGGTATAAAAGCACAAAAGCAATGTTGAGGCTTATAGACCTACCCGGAGGACTTGATTTGGTCTCTCCACCTGCACTCTACAGGAAGCAGAGGCTCTGCCAAATGTTTCTAGTTTTTAAGCTTTCATGGGTTTTAACTAAAAAAACTTCAAAAACTAAAAAAATAAAATAATAAAATAAAAAAAAAGTTATTATTCTCCTTCAAAATGCTTTTCAGCAGTGACACAAAAAAGCCCAAAAAATGCGAGAAATTGTCATCATTACCACAAAGACTGCACAACCTAGAAATGAATTCATAGAAAACACTGAAAAAAATTAAATAAATAAACCGGATTCTGAAAAACAAAAAAAAAAAATGGCAGGATTTATTTGAAGATATGTTTTTTTTACTGTAAAAAACAAAAATGAGCAGATGTCATGTTTAAATACATTTGTTGTCACTTCTTTTATGTGTTTTAATGTTCAAAAGCGTTTGCAAACCTTTGAAGTTTTAAAAAATGTGTTTTTGGTTTTTTTCACAAAACGGTCTTTACTTAACCTTTGGAGGGAAAAAGCCATTGAAAGCTTTGAACTTAAATACTATATAAGGTTATTTGGGAGGTAATACCTGCTTGGCATTTGCATAACAATTTGCGAGGTTAGGAGACTCTTTTTAAATGAATAAGAAAACAAACATAAAAAACAAGGACTAAGAACAACAGCATTGAACATACAGGTTAGCAAGTCAAGTGGTTTAAACCCTGGAGCGTAACACTGTGAGATTGACACAGCAATAACTCTTAGCCTCATTTACATTCATTGAAGGAAAAAAAATAAAATAAAACGCCAAGTAGCTAATAAATATAAAATACTATTAAAAAGCAATTTATAGAAAAAAATACTCTATTTCCACATAAATCCATAGTCATCCTAATGTACACTTATAAACACATTGTACAAATAAGTAGCTTATGTTTAAAATAATGAATTATTTTATTTTGTTTTCTTTTTAATATGTAGTTATAAATATATTTTGTCAAAATATATGATCATATTGTCAAAACAGTTTCACATAAAAGTCATAAATAAGGTCAAGGTGAATGTTCAGTTGAAGGAAGTCCCGCCCACAGCAAGCAAATGGATTTAAGTTTCATTTTCCGATTTAACGGCATCCACATCCCTCTACCACCATCTCCTGATAGTTTTTAAGAACTACTTTGTCATATTCATCCAAATATAGCATAGAAATGGCGCTGAGTTCTGTGGGAACGCAGCATGCTTTGGGAATGCTAGAGTTTACAGAGTTGACCAACGTTTGTACAATAGCGTGATTGGTTGAGTTCAGGTGGTCAGCCAATGGAAATGGACAATCCCCGTGGCAGTAAAAAGCCTGGTACCCAGGTGGAGCCACTATCCAATCATTCCAGCCAACGTCACTGAAATCCACATAGAGAGAATGTCTCCGGCAATTTTTGTTTCTTTTCCGGACTCGCTGTGGTTTTGGACTTCTTTTTGACCTCCTGGTCAGTGCATGTCCCCTGCCGTCATGGCTAAAAGTGATTAAAAGTGGCCTGATCTGTAACCAGTCTGCATCCTCGTGAGGTAATAATGATCGGCTAATCCGGACATGTTTCCCCTGATAAGTTTTTGTGTAGTTGAGGTGAATCACCTCAATTGCAAGCCCATGGTTTATCTGCTTATCATGGGTCCATCTCATGATGGCAGGGCTCACATCAAAACTTTCCCACTGTGTCTCATTATGATGGATTAGCCGTGTGTCCAACAGCCTAGTAACCATTTGTCCATTTACTGCATGAGGTTTCATGACTTCATATACATTTATCCGGTGGAAGCCTTCTTCCCACGGTAGACTATGTTCGATCTGCTCCCTATACAGTCTCAGCTCAGCAGATGAAATCACTTCATTTTCAGGAATGCTGCTGAGGTTGAAATAAAATCGGACACTTGCATTTTCTGCCGTCCCTGTTATCTTCTCCAAAATTTCTATAACAAAAAAGGGGAGAAAGAATAAATGTCAATATGTGTTATGAGCTTGAACCATCTATATCTCAATGTATCTTCACAAATGAAACAGACATAGACTTTAGGGCAGTGACTGTGCTCTGGAATGGTCTAATGTTTAGACTTCTGAGAAGCCTACCCGATAATTTCAACCTCAGCTTGGCAGCGGTATAAGAGCAGCAGAAGGGCTCACACACAATTTTCTTTTTAGAAATGTATTGCTTAGGATATGTAGCCATTTGAAAAACATACAGCCATGCCTTCTTGATCATGTTACAGAGCGAAGAAAAAAAAATCCAGTTCAATAATGATGCTGTGGATTAATAACTCAGATTTACTTTGGAAAAGCAACATCCGCGAGGAAACTTTTGGATCAGATTACAGGGCTCTATTGAACAAACCTTTACAAACACACAGCTGTAACTTTACATACACCAAGTGTTCTTTAAATATTAAAATTAGTGGAAAATAAAAAAAAGCTAGCCCTTTTCCTTTGATCAAGGGGAAACTCATAAAACAGTCCATACAAAGTTCACAATAAACCTATATAAATTTCATTTGTGTTCCAGAGAAAAAAAAAAACAAACAAAAAATGGAACAGCACGCTAAACCCATTACACACTGTGCGCTCACCCATCTCTCGCAGACACCGCATTCTGGAAGCTGAGGTGGGATTTGATTTCCACAACATTTCAAGAGGAGGAAAAGAAGACATTGAAAGGGACACTGCTAGGTCATTTCTCTATTAATCTCGTACAAGGCAAATCAACACTTATTAAAACAGGCAGCAAATCATGGCAAATCCTCGTTACAGCAGATGCTCTATCTCACTGGGTTGGGGTGTATCAACACAAGTTTCTTAAAAAGGGAAACAATGCCAACAAACACTGAAATTGAGAAATTGTGGCCAAAATAAGCAATTTGAAAAAAAAAATCTCCAACCCCGCTTCAGTCACATTACAATTCGCTGTTTAATAAAGAAACCCCATACGGTGTAACAATCTTAAACTGCCTTCACCAAACAAAAAGGTTACTAAATATCTAGAAAATGATATTCACCCCCATAGTGTACAGATACAACAATACCAACAACCATGTCTGTGGGTTTAACGTTGGCTGTTTTTATTTCCATGGAGAGGAAGCAGGTCTGAGATTTTTAACACATTAAAGGCATGTCTGGGGTGCCTTACACAGCATTGCTGTCCGTTCTACACGAGCTCTGCACTGCTAAGCTCTGGCCATAAATCTAAGAGGTTAATATTGACTTTTACAGACTTAAAACAACCATTTGCATCTAGAGGTGAACACCCTTCTAAAGCAATTCAAGATCTGGAGGCTAAACAGCATTTACAGCATTAGTGTCATCAGGAAACCAATTAGCTTTTGTATTGTAAATGTAAAGTTCTTGCTTTGTGTACACACACACACACACACACACACACACACACACACAATGCAGTTAGCCTTATTAGAAAGTTGCAGGTCCTGTCTAACACAACCAGTGCAAATCCTGATAATGGCGTTAGTAATTGAGATTAAAGAATGTCTCGGGAGAGTTCACAGTCATTATAAAGGGTTATGGAATATCCTGAGAATTCAATGAATGCACAATGTGAGAGGGTGATACAGAGAGTAAAGGGGGCTGGCATGGGGGGTTTAGACACGGACTATGTAGGTGACAGTACATTGTATGAAGGCGGATGGCTGAACAATCTTACAAATCATTCTATCCGTGATGTAATCTGCCTCTTAGAATGTCATGAAGCATGGATGGTGACATCTGATTTGTAATAAGCATCCATACAGTCTGGAGCCTAACCACATATATGCTCTGCCTGAGATGAATGGGAGTTATATTCCCAAGCAGGAATGACTGGAACACGTACATCTCGTTACTGCCATTTAAACTACATGAACCCGAGCATCACCCTAACACGATGTACGGTCTCATGAATCAGGTAAGATACGGAATGGCATGTATTAGAACATTGCTTCCCAGAGCAGTCTTCACGGCCAAGCTACAGTCCAGGATTTCTGTATTCTATTCCCAATAAACCTGGACAGTCATTTGTCACAAACAATGCCATCTTGGGGTATGAAAAGTGTAGAGCACCTGGTTTATTATGGTTTTCAAGACCCACTAAGTGGCATTAGTTTCACTGTTATGTACCCCCTATATAGGTTAGGGGGTGTAAGGATTATTGTATTCTGTGAGCCCCCATTATGACTGTAAGATGTTGGGGGACCTCTGTAAGACAGTAGATGTGAAAGGTGAAAATTGACAACTTTTCACTCTGAGGTTGACCTGGGGAAATGGGACAATTCATCCTTGGAAAAATTTAAATGTGAGGGAGCTCTGTCTGTCCTGAGTATTGAGGAGCGTAGTGTATCTATTGAGGACCTACGTCACGAGTGCTAGGAAGCCAAGTGTATTGGACAGAGCTCAATGTGAATGATAGGGTGTTAAGTTGAGTTTATATTTTGGGGAGCTGGGCATAGAAGTTGGAGCATATATTTTTGGGAGCTAGGTGAAGAGGTCGAGTGTATATTTTTGGAAGCATATTGTTGGGAACTGGGTGTAGAGGCCGGGGTACATGTTTTTGGAGAGCTAGGTGTAGAGGTCAGGGTGCATGTTTTGGGGAGTTCGATGCAGAGGTTGGGGTGCATTTTTTGAGGAGTTGGATGTAGAGGTTGGGGTGTACATTTTAAGTAGGAGCTGGCACTTACCCTCGTGATGGAAGCTTCTCACGGTGTTGGCCCGGCTGGTGGGTCTTTCTGGGTACTCCAGACTGATCCCCCGCAGATCTTCCTCCCGCTCTGCAGACTGCAGCCGGTAAAGGTCCAGCATGTATTCAGGGACTGGTACTTCATGGCTCGGCTGTGGCCGCTTGCGGAGCCCAAACATTTGTAGAAGAGTGGCCTCAAAGTCCCGCAGGAGTTCATTGCCGTGCCCAGAGCTCTGCCCGGAGTGACTCCCCCCTGCCTGGCTCTCGCTCTGCGCCACTTTCTTCCTCCCGGTGCCCGGGATCAAGCTGGCATGCTCAGCGCCTCCCAGCAGGACATGGCATAGTAAAAGGACCATCAGCATTGGGTTACCAGCAATCATGGTGTCTCTGCAGGGTAGAAGACAATACAGACAATCAGTGAGTGACAGAGGTACAATGCAGCCACTCCCGGAGGTGCTAATAGCTTATTATCAGAGAGTCTCCATCCTGTTAATCTGCCTGTCTCTGGGACTATCTGTTCAATTATCTCCTAGCCCTAGGACCATGTACTGCTTACTGCTAGCCTGCCACCCACTACTACCTCACTGCCAGCCAGCCCAGCAACTGCTACCTTACTTCAAACCCATCGGCCCAGCCACTGCCTCCTCACTGCCAGCCCAGCCACTGCTAACCTGCACAGGGAGTGTGCACAGTGCAAAGCAATCTTACTTTGCCAGCCAGTGATACCAGCAAACTACACTCCCAGTGACTGCCAAGCACTGGAACTATTATGCTTGAAAACAGCACTGCATTGTCACTGCCTGTGCAATATGCTGATAAACCAGGGATTGCACTGCATTTCAGTTAATAAAACTCTTCATGGATTATTCAAACAGAAAGGATTATAGGTAACTATGCATCTGTCTGCCAGTGGTAACCAGCTGGACCCAGGATCAACAGGATAACCTGCCTCCCAGAGCAATAAACACAGCCCGCAACCTGCCTCCCAGGGCAATAAACACAGCCCGCAACCTGCCTCCCAGAGCAATAAACACAGCCCGCAACCTGCCTCCCAGGGCAATAAACACAGCCTGCAACCTGCCTCCCAGGGCAATAAACACAGCCTGCAACCTGCCTCCCAGGGCAATAAACACAGCCCGCAACCTGCCTCCCAGGGCAATAAACACAGCCCGCAACCTGCCTCCCAGGGCAATAAACACAGCCCGCAACCTGCCTCCCAAGGTAATAACCAAGCCTCTGGGAGATATATGCAGAGACTTGCTGACAGGCTTTCCTAAAGCTGATCTTAAACTAACAGTCAGTGGAGTTATAATCAGGGATGGAGAACCCATATACATCCTAACACTGGCACCCACACAGAGCCTGCCACCCTCTCCCATATGCATCCTGCCACTGGCACCTACACAGAGACCCAGCCACCCTCACCCACATACATCCTGCCACCCTTGGCCATATACATCCTGCCACTGGCACCCACACAGAGCCTGCCACCCTCTCCCATATGCATCCTGTCACTGGCACCCACACAGAGACCCAGCCACCCTCACCCACATACATCCTGCCACTGGCACCCACACAGAGACCCAGCCACCCTCACCCACATACATCCTGCCACCCTTGGCCATATACATCCTGCCACTGGCACCCACACAGAGCCTGCCACCCTCATCCATATACATCCTGCCACTGGCACCCACACAGTGCCTGCCACCCTCACCCATATACATCCTGCCACTGGCACCCACACAGTGCCTGCCACCGTCACCCATATACATCCTGCCACTGGCACGCACACAGTACCTGCCACCCTCACCCAAATACATCCTGCCACTGGCACCCACACAGAGCCTGCCACCCTCATCCATATACATCTTGCCACCCACACAGAGCCTGCCACACTCTCCCATATACATCCTGCCACCAACACCCACACAGAGACCCGATATAGCTTGGCAATCCTCACCCACAGTCATCCTGCCACCCTCACCCATATACATCCTACCACCAACACCCACACAGAGCTTGCCACCCTCACCCATATACATCTTGCCACTAGCACACACACAGATCCTACCACCGGCACCCATCAACAGTATCCAGAAATGAAGAGTCCATAACACTGGGGACCCTGGGAGATGCCAACCGGGGAACCTGAATGATGTCAGCTGGGGGACCCTGGGTGATGCCAGCTGGGGGGACCCTGGGTGATGCCAGCTGGGGGGTAAACCTGGGCCATGCCAACTGGTGGGTGATGCTAGCTGGGAGGTAACCCTAGGTGATGCCAGCTGTGGGGTGACCCTGGGTGATGCCAGCTGGGAGGTAACCCTAGGTGATGCCAGCTGTGGGGTGACCCTGGGTGATGCCAGCTGGGGTGACCCTGGGTGATGCCATCTGGGGTGACCCTGGGTGATGCCAGCTGGGGTGACCCTGGGTGATGCCAGCTGTGGGGTGACCCTGGGTGATGCCAGCTGTGGGGTGACCCTGGGTGATGCCATCTGGGGTGACCCTGGGTAATGCCAGCTGGGGTGACCCTGGGTGATGCCAGTTACTGCAGAGCTAGGGCAGAGTAAGCGAGGAAACAAATATCAAGAAAAGTTACTCACTGACAGAAAACAGAGCAAAGAAAAACAGTCCATGATTGTTGAGGGCCAGTCCTGGACAGAGGCTCCGGAGTGCAGGCTGACACTGTGGAAGTGGCTCCTGAAATGACTATTTGAATCTAATGAGCCCCCAGCCAGACAGTCTGCTTTATCCCAGCCCCCCTGCGGGTCACGTGGGCTTACAGAACCTGTCAATCAGCTGGATCTCCCCGCCCACGGTTCGGCCTCCCCCACCCCCCTCACAGACCCAGCTCAAAGCTCTCATCTAAATGATAATGGAATAATGTAAACACCTGGGAAAACATGAAAAGCAGCCAAATACACCGCAGGAACCAGGAAACAGGGAGCAAGGGCATTCACAAACAGAAACTGGAACACTTTTATTATACACTCTTACACTCAGATTATACACTGTTACACTTAGATTATACACTGTTACATATTATACACTGTTACACTCAGATTATACACTGTTACACTCAGATTATACACTGTTACATATTATACACTGTTACACTCAGATTATACACTGTTACACTTAGATTATACACTGTTACACTCAGATTATACACTGTTACATATTATACACTCTTACACTCAGATTATACACTGTTACACTTAGATTATACACTGTTACATATTATACACTGTTACACTCAGATTATACACTGTTACATATTATACACTCTTACACTCAGATTATACACTGTTACACTTAGATTATACACTGTTACATATTATACACTGTTACACTCAGATTATACACTGTTACACGTAGATTATACACTGTTACACTCAGATTATACACTGTTACATATTATACACTCTTACACTCAGATTATACACTGTTACACTTAGATTATACACTGTTACATATTATACACTCTGACACTCAGATTATACACTGTTACATATTATACACTGTTACACTTAGATTATACACTGTTACATATTATACACTCTTACACTCAGATTATACACTGTTACACTCAGATTATACACTGTTACATATTATACACTCTTACACTCAGATTATACACTGTTACACTCAGATTATACACTGTTACATATTATACACTGTTACACATTATACACTGTTACACTTAGATTATACACTGTTACACTCAGATTATACACTGTTACATATTATACACTGTTACACATTATACACTGTTACACTTAGATTATACACTGTTACACTCAGATTATACACTGTTACATATTATACACTCTTACACTCAGATTATACACTGTTACACTTAGATTATACACTGTTACATATTATACACTCTTACACTCAGATTATACACTGTTACATATTATACACTGTTACACTTAGATTATACACTGTTACATATTATACACTCTTACACTTAGATTATACACTGTTACATATTATACACTGTTACATATTATACACTGTTACACTCAGATTATACACTGTTACATATTATACACTCTTACACTCAGATTATACACTGTTACACTTAGATTATACACTGTTACATATTATACACTGTTACACTCAGATTATACACTGTTACATATTATACACTCTTACACTCAGATTATACACTGTTACACTTAGATTATACACTGTTACATATTATACACTGTTACACTCAGATTATACACTGTTACACGTAGATTATACACTGTTACACTCAGATTATACACTGTTACATATTATACACTCTTACACTCAGATTATACACTGTTACACTTAGATTATACACTGTTACATATTATACACTCTGACACTCAGATTATACACTGTTACATATTATACACTGTTACACTTAGATTATACACTGTTACATATTATACACTCTTACACTCAGATTATACACTGTTACACTTAGATTATACACTGTTACATATTATACACTCTTACACTCAGATTATACACTGTTACATATTATACACTGTTACACTTAGATTATACACTGTTACATATTATACACTGTTACACTCAGATTATACACTGTTACATATTATACACTCTTACACTCAGATTATACACTGTTACACTTAGATTATACACTGTTACATGAGTGTAACAGTGTATAATATGTAACAGTGTATAATCTGAGTGTAAGAGTGTATAATATGTAACAGTGTATAATCTAAGTGTAACAGTGTATAATCTGAGTGTAAGAGTGTATAATATGTAACAGTGTATAATCTGAGTGTAAGAGTGTATAATAAAAGTGTTCCAGTTTCTGTTTGTGAATGCCCTTGCTCCCTGTTTCCTGGTTCCTGCGGTGTATTTGGCTGCTTTTCATGTTTTCCCAGGTGTTTACATTATTCCATTATCATTTAGATGAGAGCTTTGAGCTGGGTCTGTGAGGGGGGTGGGGGAGGCCGAACCGTGGGCGGGGAGATCCAGCTGATTGACAGGTTCTGTAAGCCCACGTGACCCGCAGGGGGGCTGGGATAAAGCAGACTGTCTGGCTGGGGGCTCATTAGATTCAAATAGTCATTTCAGGAGCCACTTCCACAGTGTCAGCCTGCACTCCGGAGCCTCTGTCCAGGACTGGCCCTCAACAATCATGGACTGTTTTTCTTTGCTCTGTTTTCTGTCAGTGAGTAACTTTTCTTGATATTTGTTTCCTCGCTTACTCTGCCCTAGCTCTGCAGTAACTGGCATCACCCAGGGTCACCCCAGCTGGCATTACCCAGGGTCACCCCAGATGGCATCACCCAGGGTCACCCCACAGCTGGCATCACCCAGGGTCACCCCACAGCTGGCATCACCCAGGGTCACCCCAGCTGGCATCACCCAGGGTCACCCCAGATGGCATCACCCAGGGTCACCCCAGCTGGCATCACCCAGGGTCACCCCACAGCTGGCATCACCTAGGGTTACCTCCCAGCTGGCATCACCCAGGGTCACCCCACAGCTGGCATCACCTAGGGTTACCTCCCAGCTAGCATCACCCACCAGTTGGCATGGCCCAGGTTTACCCCCCAGCTGGCATCACCCAGGGTCCCCCCAGCTGGCATCACCCAGGGTCCCCCAGCTGACATCATTCAGGTTTGGTTGGCATCTCCCAGGGTCCCCAGTGTTATGGACTCTTCATTTCTGGATACTGTTGATGGGTGCCGGTGGTAGGATCTGTGTGTGTGCTAGTGGCAAGATGTATATGGGTGAGGGTGGCAAGCTCTGTGTGGGTGTTGGTGGTAGGATGTATATGGGTGAGGGTGGCAGGATGACTGTGGGTGAGGATTGCCAAGCTATATCGGGTCTCTGTGTGGGTGTTGGTGGCAGGATGTATATGGGAGAGTGTGGCAGGCTCTGTGTGGGTGGCAAGATGTATATGGATGAGGGTGGCAGGCTCTGTGTGGGTGCCAGTGGCAGGATGTATTTGGGTGAGGGTGGCAGGTACTG